TACAATCGGGGAAGGTCAGCTATGAGCACCCCCTTTCGCCCGGTCCGAAGACCGGCCTCTACTAACCATGATATCCGATTTTGAAAATGTTATGTGTTCTTATTCCATTTGTTAGCCTAGAAGTACTATGTTATGCGCACAGCAAACAAGTATAGACTAGATTGTCTAATTTGGAAACAAGCATTACATATCCGTTTGTTTTGAAAAGCGCTTTGGAATTTGCTACTCGCAAGTAGGCTAAAACACGGATTTCAAGGAGTTTTTCCAACTCAAACAATCCAACCTTCACCCACAGGCATTCAAACAATTATATCACGTAAGCATTTAGCCGCATGGCAAGCATACTGTCATGGCAACACTCGCACGCATGCAGTATGCTAAAGCAGGAAAATACTCACATAGTACTCCGTGCCAAAACAATAAACTAATTAGCAAACATGCACGATCCTAGTTCATGTTAGAGTGGCTAATGCAACGCATGCAAAATGCAATTAGAGTAGGCTCGGCTAACCTAAGCATGGCATGTGAAATGCGATCAATTTGATGTATGTATTTAATTTGGAATTGAAGTACAAATGCAGTTAGCGTGATGTACCGAGCCTAATGCATGCAGTACAAATGTATGGATGCACGCATGCATAGCATAAGGGATGCTAATTTGAACGTGCCCTAATCTACCATCATAAGCAGGTAAATAAAAGGGAAGAAAGAAGGTGGGGTTGGAAGACATACACACCACTCACCCACACTTATTACAGATTTGCCCTCGCTCGGAGGGACCGAATAAATAATACAAATTAATTAACTACGCAAGCTAATTAAATATTACAAATTGCCTAATTAATTAATAAATTAACTAAGCTAGGAAAAATAGTAAATCGCCTCGGGAGGAGAGCCAGATGCAGCGCATGCTCGGGTCCCGTTCAGAAGTGCACGGCCATGCATAGTCTGCCTCTGTTTTCCCTACTCTGCTCCTCTAGAGGCTACCAAAACCTCAGGGATGTTTCTCTGGATACTGGGAATCACCACCGGCTGAGTAGAATTACCACCGGCAGTGGTATGTGGTCATCGGCACAAAATTGATCCATCGACTGGTGAATTACTGCCGGTCGGCAATGTACACTGCCGGTCGGCAAAGAATGCCTGCAGAACCTGCAACTCACAGCAGCAGAGGACAGAACTTGCATGGCAATACAATTCAAACGATGTATGCACCAATCATGTCCCCTATCATGTTTGTAGCTCAAAGGGGCATGTGTCTCGATTCTCGGACCGCCAATGACGCATTTCCATGCATGACGGCCCAAAGAATCAAGTGTGCAACTTTCATGTCAAATGAAATGTAAACCAAACAAACAAACCAAGGCCCAATTCCTATCACCAAGTCAAGGAATAAAGCATGCATGCAAGATGCAATGCAACCTAGGCATACAAGCTAAGGATGCAACATGGCATGGCAAGACACTTATGCAAGCATACAAGCAAACATGAGGCAATGCAAATTGATGGAAAGGTGGACTTATACATGATTTAGGAAACTCCAAATGGGCCTAAAACAATGGCCAAAGTGACCAAAATAAAGGACTAAACACATACACACATGCACATGTTAAAGGGTTAAAGGAGCCAACACTTAGGCACAAATGGGACAACTCTCAAACACATTTGAAAGAAGG